TTTTTGAGGGGGTGTTTTGCAAATGGGGCTGTATTTTGAGGGGATTTACGAGAGTGCCATTGTGGAAAAAGGGGGAGAAAAAGTGCACTTTGGAGAAAAGGGAGAAACGGGGGTTCTGGGGTGAAGGACGGGTCATGGGTCGGCTTCAAGACCGTGAAGAGAGGGAGGGTTGACTTTAAAGCCCACACTTTGCATTATTTTATTGTTAATTTTGTATTAGTGGGTTGTTGCCTCTAACAATTACTATATTTAGATTTAGATGGATACAGGTTCTCTTATAAGTACCCATCAATTCATAGGTATTTTTTTGTTTGAATTTTTGTGCAATGTACGGTTAATTAAGGGTGGATTTAGTGTCGGATTCAGAATTTTTTTAATGAGGGTGCGCGACGAGCATTTATTTATCTAAAAATAAAAATATAATTGTGAGTTATATGTTTATGGAATAAACTCAAATGAAAGGGGTTATTTAATGCAAATAGGCTCAAATGAGCTACTACTTATTTGTTATATAAGCAAGTGTAATTTTTTTTTTTTTTAAATAGAGGGGCACATTCAAACTTGTGAAAGACCTTACAACGCAATTATCAAATGTCAATTGCATCCTAGGCCGCTCCTGCTGTAGACTAATTTTTTTAATGTATTTCAATGCTTAACATAATATGGTGGAGGATATGATGGATTATGCTAGGATATTCCATCTGAAGGGCAAATTCACAACTGCATGGAGTTGGAGGGTTTCATGTGCAAATAGCCCTTTCAGTTACGAAATTTGTGTGTACGTACGCAAAAAGCCCATTTAGTACCCTATCCGCCAAAGTTGTTGATCGGTTTGTATTCTTTCCTAAAAATTTACCCTTCGTAAAACAATAGATTCGAAAATTTTCTTCATTTTCTATTAAATATTCCAAAGAAATTCTGTAAGGAGTAAAGAGAGATCACATAAAATATGTGCTAGATCATCCAGTAACATATCAATGGGTTTTTTTTTTTTTTTTTTTTGGGGGGTTTTTTTTTTTTTTTTTTTTGAGAGAGAGAGAGAAGTTTGAGATGATTTGTAGCATTGCTTCCTTTGCCATTGACCCCACAAAAGAGAAGGATACAGACACAGTTGGGTGAGAATTAGGTGCAATCCTAAGATTTAATAATATTGTGAGCACCGAGACCTATTAAAGAGCTATGTAATAAATGATCTCTAGAGTACCCTCGTGTGGTGCAGTGGGATCTTTCAATTAATATTGGTCTCATTTTTTTATAGTCACATGATGGTTAACTTCTTTGATGAATTGGTCAGAATAGTTAAATCGTACCATTTATGCATTTTTGTAAAAGGGTTTTTTGCTGACATGACGAGTCCATAACGCGATGTTTATGCTGGTTTCATCCGAAATGTAATATGATAACTCGATAACCTCCCCGAAATGAGAAGTTGAGTATTCACGTGTGAGTATAGTTCCACAATGAATAAGATTCGAAGAGTTGTGGGTTTAAAATGGTAGCTCGCACCAATTGTCATAGCTTTCGTGTTGAAATTAGTTCTTAGCGTCTGTTTTAGTCTAACACCGTCTCTTTAACTTCTTGCACAACCAAAACATGCATTTCCTTTTGTTTTAGCAAGAATTAGCCTTAATTCTAGATTAACTCTTTTTATTATACAATGTCGGAGTCTTCTCCATTGGTTCTATAATTTTGTTAATGTGCTAAACTATGCGGATGAGAATATTACTGAATACTCATACGAGCGAAATCCATGACTTTTTACGAATATTACTTTTTTCCATCTCTCTTCTATCCATGACACCATTTTATGCATTTTTAAAAAAAAAGCATCATACACTTCTCATGATTGAAATGAAGAATTTTTGAAATGAGAGCTTTGAACAAGAAGCTGGCTTCCCATATAAGAAGGTGCACATATTGATATATATACAGGAGCCAGGCACAGGACACCCTTATCTATATCAAAATGGAAAAAAAGGGTAGAGGTAGTAGATGTGGAGCTACTGCACTTTACATTCAATTTATAGTGTACTTTTTGGCCCACAACCGATCAACTTTTTTCCTTTTATGTACTTTTATACGGTGGGTGAGCAAACGCTGGTATTCGTGTCTCGCGTAGCTTGACGTGCAGCGGCCAGAAAGCAAATTTTAAAATCCCATGTGGGGCCCGGTTTACTGTAGCGATGAGAGAGGGGGGTGTGGTTGGTGGTGTGGTAGGGGGTGTGCCCCTAACATTATTTTATAGAATGAGAGGGGGGAGAGGGAGAAATGATAGCCATGATTCTTGCAGCTTCAATTGACAGACTCGATCGTGCTTTACAAAACCTAGTAAACAAATCCAGGGTCGTTAAGGAAAACGAAAAGCCGAGGCATGTTAGAGGTGGAGAGAAAAAAAAAGGTAAGGAGAACAAACTTACAAAATTTTGTATATGAACTGCACAAGAGAGCGGCTCAAATTGCTCTCTTATCTCTTTCTAATAGCTCAGAACATCACCCACGCATTCAGAATGATTCGATAGAATTTTCTATTAAATGGACTGGAAAGCGGATGATACGGATTGGCCCAAAGCCTGTGTCCATTGCTGGCCTCTAAGGTAAGTTTGGAGAACGGCTCAATCTAAGGCCGGGCACCACTATTCATGGCAGTATCAAAAGTTCGTATGGGATGCCGAAATTATAAGTACAGTAAATTATTTTCATCTAAGCCGGTGCATCCCTAAACACAACCTAAGATAAACTTTGAGTTTTTGAACTCTAAAGTAATCATCATAACATGATAAATGAAGCTAAACAAACAGATTTATCTGAAGATAAGAAGGGGGGAAAACTAATGAACAAACGTTAATGTTGAGTTGAGAGTGGCTCTCATACCACTTGCGAGTTGAGAAGGGTGGTGGACACTAAGAACTATTTTATTATTATTTCTCTAGTGGTACTACACTCAGTACTTTCTCTAATACAAACACTCTTT